TTATATAGAATATACATCAATATTCCTAATTTAAGATCAATTAAAGTATTTTTTATCTTTCCTTATAATACTTTATTAAAATTACATAATTTTAAAATATTTTTTTAATCTTTAAGAGGTAAGATAGATAAAAAAATAATATCATATTATATAATATTATAATTATATTATTTTTTGCGAAATAAAGTAAATTATTAAAGTAAACTTAAATTAGGTACAGGATTAAAAAGGAAGATAAAAAATATAATGCACCGAGACTTGTGACGATTTTAATTCACTTTTATAAGAAAGCTAAAAATAATCAAATCAAGACACAAACAAGGGAAGCACTTCAGTTTTCCCAAAATTATAATGTTATTTCTGAATTAGAACTAATCATCCAACTCACAGGATTTCTGCAGCTTTTTGTCCAAAAGGAAGCTGCATCTCATCATCCTTTATACAAGCAACATTAACACTAGAAACTCTCAGCCCTGCCTTTTCACAGGACAGCTTTGAAAATTGTTCCTTCAAAATACTACCTTCTTGGCCTTCACCAACTTCATGCATTTTCTTGCCTCCTACTAATCCATAATAATATCTATTTCAGCATCTGCATTATCAAAATGGTTACAATCCGGTTGCTGTTCAGACTCCTCCCAGTCTTTCGTTTCAGTGCTGGCATCATTGTCATGACAGACATCATCGGATTGTGGTGCATAGCCAGTTTCTGGTACAGTGCCAACCTTAGGGTCATGAGTGATCTTGTTTCCTGTATTTCTGTTTTCGAGCTTGGTCCAGGAGTAATTTTCAGGCTGCTGAACAGACTCGTTATGAACAGGCTCCAATGTAATACAAGCATCTGATATGGTTGTTTCAACCACTCCCATGTGCAGTTTATTACTTGGCCTGCCACTGTCATTATTGGTGAGTTCCATTTCACCACCAATGTCAAATTCTTCCACATTAACATTGGTCTCGTCAAGGAAGCAGTTGTTACCCAATAGCTCTACCAACTCAGTGGGGGAATCTCCGAAGGGGGAGATTCCCATTTCAACTGATTGACCTTGTCCCGATGGGGATGGATCATCTGATCCTGAATAAACCAAGGAAATGAAGTTAATTATGAGGAACTTAGAGGAAATGCCAGGTAAAGAGCAATTTAAAACCTTACGTGCTTCTCTATTTGATTTTGGAGATTGATACAGGGGCTTCTTAAGCAGTACTGTCCCTGGAAAGACCATCAAATTGATATTATTGAGGGTTTCCTTTTCTTCATCCTCCATCAGTTTGAAGCCAAAACCCACAGTCCATGTTTCCACTAAACTCGGAATGGCAGCTATCACAATTTTTTCCACCTTGAATGACATCAGCATCTGGAAGCAGCACCAAAGGAAGAAGAAAACAAAGATTAGGACACGCAACTGGAACAACTTTATATGAAGCGTCCTCCTATGAACTGCAGGAACTTTATAATATCCGATTCTTACAGTAAATAATTCGCTCACAGAATTCACTAACTCAGCCAATTGTTAAGAGAATGCATCAAAGTATACCTCTTCAATAACATCCATAAGGCGTCGACACATTCCCAGGCGTCGATGGTTGCTGCAAGTTGCAATTAGGGGCATTTCTGCAACTGCTGTTCCATGTATCCTGCAAATGGTTTTACAGTTTTAGCCACGAATGTCAATGCAGTAAAACCAAAGGCCAGAGAGAGACTGGAATATGAAACAATCCTAGGGTGCTGGGCATGGCCTGCTGGAATTGTTTGCACCCAAATGAAGATGGAGGGATTTTCAGCATGGTTTACATCACTCCTTATAAGTTGAGCCAACCCCAACGGGTTAGAAGTGATTTACATATGTTGATAAAATTTAGAAAAGTAACAGTACTACCTGATGGATGCTACAGATATCAGGGCATCACCCTTCTCCAAGACCACCGTGTAAAATCCACAAAAATTCAGGCGTGCAAAATCTGACCTGATAATGTACACAAAAATGCACTAGATTAACTCAAAAGATTCAATGTGAAATACAAGAATTTTATGAATAAGTGCATATATTCAACAAAACAAAGGTCACATTGAATATATTGACTTTCTAGCAAAAGCTGGATGGTAACAAGCATGAAAATATTTCAGTTTTTTTTTTCTTTTTTTTGAACTAAAAACTACAACTTTAGGGGGAGGGGGAATCAAAATTCGAACCTTTTTGTGGAATCAAAATTCGAACCTTGTTGTGGGGCTTGGAAAGATGCATCTTTACCAAGTGGGCCATGGAAATATTTCAGTAAGACCAAAACTAAAAAAGATATGCATCTTATCTGGATATAAAAAGAGGCAGGGCTTGTAGAAAAGGAAGATCATAAACATCTTAGAAAAGAGACCTTTAAAGAATCACATAGAAAAGAAAATTAAGAAAAAAACATAAAATAGCAGCATGTATTTCTTTTTTCTTTTGCCACCTAGCAGCATAATTAGAAAGAAGCATGAAATTCATAGAAGCATCTTTGCTACCTACAGTAGAATATTATGACTGAGAGTAAGACTAGGAAAGGGGAAAAACAAGAAATGTAAGCCTGAAAATTTAATATAGTAAAGAAATAAGTGTATTAAAAAGAATAGCCTTTACCCCCAACTGTATAACACTTGGGGTATCATGTGTACGCCTGTTCTTGGATCCACCATAGACTGAAAGCATTCCTCCATAATAGATAGAGCAACAGCCAATTTTGAGTTGCATTCCGCCTTCAATGCTAAACGTTTTGCAGAGCGAACTTGTTGATCTTCCTGAATACATCTGAGAAGTGTCCAAGAAAAGCCATTAGCAATAGGATTTATGATTCCAAGGCGAGAATTGAGTCCTGTGTACACCTGCAAATTTCATTGAATCTTGAATCAGAACAAAGAATGTCTACTAGCTTTACAGATTATCACCAATTACACTTCGAATGGAAAATTCCACACCAGAAGGCAGAAAGCAACCAACTTAGCAAGGTAGCAACAGAAATCAAATGAAAACAACTGCATCCCTTTATTTGCTAAATCAAACAGATAATTTACAGAAAAGTCAGAATTAAAAAGTTTAAAGTTTAAGAGAGGAAAATCAAACTAAAGTACCTTCTCACAGTTTTTACCACAAAACCAAGGGCCAGAAAACTTTGCCTCAAACATGCTTTTATCTTTCAGGCATGCCACGTGATCTGTTTGCAAATATTATAATTACCAAGTATATTAGAAACACAAATCACAAGAAAAGCTTCATGAATGACACCAAATGTGAAAGATAAACTTGTCCATCATATATACACCTGCTAATTAAAGGCCCAAAAGGAAATTTAGGAAATTGCTACATATCAATTAGTTCCCTATCTTGTCATATTGAAAACAATTGTCAAAAAAAGCAACTTAAAAATGTGCAAGTCTTAAATATTTGAAATTGCATCTTCATGAAACAAAGGAATGTTAATAATTAAAGATTGTCATGAGGACAAAAAAAGCCATTACCATAACAGCAAACAATATATGCCAGTTTCAAATTTTAACAAAAATTCATATATAAATCACAGTTGAAATGCTATTTTTCCAACTTCTTGGGTATTTCTTCCCCCAAGAAAATATCAATGAAAAAATAGAGGAAACTTTTTTCTGAAAACTAAACTAGCAAGCAACCTCAGATTTGCAAGTTAAAATTCAAATATAAGATTCTAAATCATATGTATTTCCATATTTAAGTCATGGCAGACCCATAAATAATTTAGCTTCAAATAGAATAACCCATCCAAATTTATGATTGGAAGAATTACATTTATGCTCACACTGCGAACATTTGAACCCTTCAAGCGTGCCTGACAGATCTTTATCATTAACCAACTTCCCACATATTTGACAGGTGCAGTTTGAACAATACCAGCTGCCTTCAGGTACCTCCTGAAGTAAATATTGAAAATAATGAGTAATTGAAAACAATGAGTACATGTAGGTACTTCAGAAAAGGAAAACAAAATCTATAGGAAAGAAACAGATTCTCAAATCATTCGAGACAGTTAAAAGTGGGAATAAAATTGCACAGATAAACACTTAAAAGTTAAAAGTGGACCTAAGCAAAATAAATACTACGTGACCCAAAGCAAAATAAAATAGCACATATCAGAGACATGCAAACAGAAAAATTACTCTTCCCGAGTTAGACAACAGCAGCATCCAGAGGAATCAAGTAAGTACATCAAGTAGACTAAGTAGGGATGCTGATTAGGAGAAAGTAAAGAGAAGAAAAGGTAACCTCAATAGACAAGCAACGCTGATGAAAAGTTGAAGGACAGTTGTCGCAACAGATCAATTCGCCACCATCACCGCAAACTCCACACGAATCATCATTTCGATCATCATTGGGTTCCACAATTTGATTCTGACTTTTCCTGGTCTTGTACTCATCAGACCATGCTTGCAGCTGGCATAAAGTGAGGGACTTGCCTGATTCCGTGAAAAGATTCAGGCAAGGACAGTTTAGCTTGAATCCAGCATGTATCTTAAACTCAGAAACTGATAACATCCTGTTGCAACACTTGCAGATTATGCCTCTCCAGGTGACAAGGCCATCTTTTAAGACAGTACCATTCTTGGGATTCCGATATTGAATGATGTCATTAAGAGAAATCACCTGAGCTAGGATCAACCATGCCAGCACTGTTCTGGATTCAAAATTATACCACTTAATATCCGTAAAATGCTTCCCCACCTTTCCTGTGCTTCGAGGAAGCAACCGGCAGCTACCTTTTTTGTTCTTGAGCTTTGTCCAGGCTCTTGATTTCCCACCCTTCCCTTTAGATTTGGTGACACCAAAGCCAATGTCCTTGTTTCTTATTATGGCAGAAACCAGGAGATCATCATCTTTAATTTGGCATTTAGTTGATTTCTTCCGTCCATCTTTACAACCAACAAAATCACGGTGGATCTTCTTAAACTTTGAGCCTTTTTTCTCAACTTGACGCAAAGAAGAGCCAAGAGATGAGGACTTTTTGTGGCCTCCTTTTGTTACATGTGACTCTTGAACTTTCAACTTCAACTCTGTCTGATTTGCATGAACATCCTGCTGTTCACTTTGATCAAGAGAATTTGAACATAAAACTTCACTTTGATATAATGTGGTCAGTTTAATTCTGGATACCCTTTTAGATTTCCTGTATGCCTTTCTCAAATGAACAACTGCTAAAGAACTTTTATCCTCAGTTTCAAATTCTGAAGCTTCAGTGCCCTTGTCACACTCTTCTTCACTGTTTTCAGAACAAATCAGGTCAACACTCAAGTGGATTGGAGGATGGTTACCCAGTGAGTGATGCAAATAACTTCCCACCTGCCAAATACCTGGAATGTTAAATGTTTCATTTTTTTCCTCCTGAGACTCCACTGACACATCTCCCAGGAATTGTTTTGATGTTTCCACATTGGGCTGAGAAGTTAGTTTGCAAGAGCTTGGAAAACTAGGGTTGCTATCTTGATTAGGGGAAATAGGTTCAAAACCCCCAAACATGTTATTAATATATTCAGAACCAACAAGATCTCTATAGTGAGAACTATCAGACTGGACACAGGTGCTATCTGACCCACAAGCTGGTAAAGAAGTCATGTTAATACAATTTATCTTGCTACCAAAAGTTTCAGACTCATTAGCAGTATCTACCATACCCCTTCCTACTCTGTCAGCCACACATATTGAAATGCCTGTAAGACAATTAACCAGTCCACTGTCTTTTTCACAACAATATTTTGAGAAAATCCTGTCACCAGACTGCTTGTCACAGGCATGGTTACTTCTCTCAGAAGCGGTCAATGAACTTTTACAAGGCAGAGAAGAATCACAAAGATGAGCCAGGACTTCTCCCTGAGAAAATATATTTCCAGCAGTATCCATAATATTCAGGGCTGTATCAACATCATTTTTCTTTGTCATGTCACTTACTAAGCTCCGTGCTGCTTTTACTTCAACTCCCTTTCTTAACGAACCAATCTTCCTATCAATGAATACAAGAGTCACAAAGGGATCTAAAACATTCCACCAATGAACCAACGCGTCAGAGAGATTTGTTTGATTTGATTCCTTTTCAATATCCTTCAATGTATTTAATAGATCCGACCACAGTTGACTAATATCAGTGTATAACCTACCATCATTTTCCTTTATTATAAAGTTGTATCTATCAGCCAGCAGACTCTGACCAAAAGATCTCCACGCTCTACTGAATTCACGAAACACCCTCCCCTTGGGTGATCTATAAATTGTATCCACATATTTCCTGCAAGGTCTCTTACGCTTCTCAATACTCCAGCCTGCTTGTCTAAGCAAGCCAAAAGCATGGCTTTGGAGAAGTAGGCGAGGATCCTTCTTAGAATCTGTTTCCAGTGAAATGCTAGATTCATCCAGTCCAGGCAAGTCGAACTCTCCGGGTTTTTCCTCAGGTAAAGGACAGTCAAACTTCTCCAAAGCAGTGGCAGACTGACTTGCATCCACAAGCCTGGATGCAAAACTCTCCTGGGAGACGGGTGAAGCAATAGCTTTACAAACAACCACTTCTTTATGCACCCTTGCATCTGATTTTTGTAATCTAGACTTTTTAACATCCATGTCAAAACGTCTAACCATTTCTCCACGCTGCTTTAACAGATAGCACCCATAAGTAACCCCCTGACTGGATGATTCAACTAAGTGGAGAGTAACATTTTGGCAAGCAGACTCTGTAGGTGGACAGGACAAGCCAGTAACAGTTTCTTTCTGCTTCAATGATTTGGTCAAAATATTATCCCTCTCTGCTTTGCCCTTTGATATTTCATTGGCAGAATACTTCATGTGCTTGACACTCATGTTCTGCTCATGCGTCTCTGTCAAAGCTTGTCTTTCCACAAAGCTTGAGGAGGATGGACTAGTTACATCTGAGTTTTCACTGTTAGAACACAGTGAGGTATCCACATTTTTGGTGTGCTCACTTTCAAAGTTAATAAGTCCAGTAACAAGACACCTCTTACTTGAGCTACCAGTATCATTTCCAAAGAAAACCTCTTTAAATATGCGGTGCTCATCCGGTGATCCCTCAAAACCATCATCACGCACAGCTTCAATTTCTGTAGTGAATGACATCTCTTCCAATTGCAGTCCAAACACATAATCTAGGTGCCTGAAATTTCATCAAGTGTCAAAGTTCAGGTTTTATGAGGCATACTTCATGTCCAAACCATTCAATAATCTTTAAGAACATCCAAGCAGCTTAAAGTTTAAAAAATCGAGCAAACAACAAAATTACATAAGCAATTCTCATACAATTACTAGCAAATTTGCTATAGGAAAGGGTATTAATATTGTGAACAGAACAGAACATGTTATTATGCATACCAAAGAGAGAAATTTCTTAAAAGCTTCATGGACAATTACCTATCTAGAGCTGATGAATGCTAGCAATCACACTTTCCATTGCCCTCCTAAAATGCAGCCACATTTTCTAACACAAGATGCAATTTGAGAAGCTTCCCTTCAAGTGATTCATTGCCTTAATTTAAAGAAAAAATGATATCTAAGAATGTAAAATATAATGATTTAATAGCAGTTAATATATAATATATGAAATTTTTTAGTTAATAGTTGCTATTTTTCCATAACAAGCTTTTCTGCATCTTGATCTGGCAGGACCATATCAGTTATAATGGTATATCTGGACGATCTACTAATAAATACCATACTCTGTACATTAGAAACATTCATGTTTATTAGAATTACAATTTTTCCCAATTTGAGATACAGCAAAACCACATCATCCGTAATAGTACATCTTAGAAACCTAATGACTGAGCAACGTAGTAATTGCATGGAAAACATTTGCTCCGACCATTTAGTTAAGAGGTCGCCTTACTTAAGGAATTACTTTTCCTTATTGGTGACACGTTCTAAATCAGTTTATGGCATTAGTATTTGACAAAGTAACTATACTGGTAACTAAAGCATAGACCTAAATAGAAACTTCCTTAATGAAAACTTTTATAATTCGCCTTCACCCTCCTTTCTTCTTCAAAGATCCAACGGATAAAATTACTAAGGAAAAAAATAAATAAATAAAAAATAAAACTTTTACTTTAGTGACCCTACTTGGCTACCTTAGGGGCAACACATTTATGTCCCGCCTCCTAGCCAGTAGTTGAAACAAGTTTCAATTTCACGTCTTTTCTGGCTAGCTTTATAGGACCATCAGATCCCTCATTAGCACTAACATCCATTCAATTATGGAACCTTATATCGTCCATTTATATGTCTAATAAATTCAGCAGGTTCTGCAAACATTCATATCGTATATTTGCCAGCGGTTTTGGAACTATTTAAAACTAACAACTATACTTTTAAGTTGGCACATGCAAAAGCCAAATTGTTCATCATGAAAGAAATACTAACAACGAAGAAACTCAGAAAAACAAATATCTGCCTTGTAAAGTCAAAACATAGCAAAATGAAAATGCAATTGCACTAAAACATTACCAGTCATTACTGATTTCAGTTAAAAAAACTAGGCTTGCCTAGCAAAATAGACACAGAGCCTACCAAGAACCTACCAGGTAAACCAAAAATCAAGGGAAAAAATAGAAAAAATAAATAAACTTAGCATTACAGAGTTCCTAACTAGCAAAACCAGCATGAACTAATAGCGATATGTAGGTGGAACTTGGGATTCAATATCATTTGACAGAAAGCATAATTTTCATAAATTTTTATCACGAGGAATCATCTAACAAGCACGAATTTATCATTCTGAACTTCCACAAAGAAACATAATCATCCTTCCTGACACTCAATTAAATGAGCATGAAAACCATTAAAACCCCATATAAACCAAGGACTGAAGGAAATTCAAAAAATGTCACCAAACCCATCTTCAGAAATTCAGAATAAAATCAAAATAAAAAACCCAGAATCCGACTTTTCAAACATAATGCACATCAAATCCCAGAACAACAGAAAACCTTGCGGAACCTACATTTCAGGATTCCACAAGAAATTTAAAAATTCATCGAGAATTACCCAGAAAGCTCTCACCTTTACAATGCATGTCCAATCAAGGCACAAGGAAGCTCAGAGAAAACCAAAAAGAACCAGGATTAGGGTTCAAAAACTTGAAAACTGAAACGGGTTTGGCTCAGAAAAGAGAAAAAAAAAAAAAAAAGAAAAGAAAAAAGGAAGAATGCGGTCTTGTTGTTCAGCCTCCCATCACCGGCAGCATAGAACCCTCAAACTGTACCCAGAAAAGACGGCTTTGGAAAATCCGGATTGCTCTCCCCACTACAACAGATGGCAGAAAACCTCTCTCTTAAACCACTCTCTCTCTCCATGTGAGCAAATATTTCCTAATCTCTCTCTGCTCACTTTGTCTTTGTCACTTTCAGTTTCCTTTTCTTCCCTTTTTTTAATTCATTGAATTTTCCCATTTAACTCAACAATAATATGATGTAAATTATCCCCATGAGGAAATGGATAAAGACTGCTTTGTGAGATAATGGAATCAGATTTTGCCCTTTTCTGTTTTTTTCCTGCTTAAATTTCTCCTCGTGGAAAATACTGTGGTTTTTTTACTCAAAAAGCTTTGAGCTTTGTTAATTAAAATGGTGGCTTAAAGTACCAGTGTGTGTGGCGCAGGACACAGACAATCCAGGGTTTTTAAGGGGGTAAA